CAAAAAAAAGGAAAAATGCTTGAAAAAGGGTCCTAAAAAGGACTAGAACAGTGCAGAGGATGCGTAAAAACGTGTTTGCTTAGGTAAAAGGTTCCAGGCCAGTTTTTACTCAGTTTACACAAAAAAGGGCTCCCTGGCAGGAAATTGGGTCTATTCAACGTCAGACCTCATATTGAGACTGCATGGCAGGCAACGAAGCCAGAGAAAGGGCAGCTTGCGTAATAAAGTGCCTCCGTGGCCAGGATTGAGGCCGGTTCAAGGTTAGATGACGTCACAATGCAAGTCAGGGTTGTGGCAATTTCTACTTTCAAGTGAGCGGTAGTGAGTGCAGCACGTCAATCGTCGGCTCCTCGTAGTTTTCTCACGGGAAACCTCGCACGACCGATGAAGCAGAAAAAAGGCACACATGCACACTGCCTCGAAAGAGGCAGAACGGTGGACGCCAACGTCAGCAACAATAAAAATTACGACGATATTTAAATGATCTCGGCGAATGGAGAAACGCTCCGCTCAGTAAATAGTAAACACAAGGTGGTGGATAAATTTGAGCATTCAAGTCTGTCCTGTGTAGTGGTGCTACCAACAAAGGCCACAAAGCAAACCGATATCGTGTGACTGGAATGCGGTCCAGGCACTGATGCGTCAACTGAGCGCGTTCGATGAAATCGCTTCTGGATAGGAAGTTAACGGCTACTTTGCCGGAGAGGCAGGGGGTAACTCTAGGGGGACGAAGCTTTACATGCAACGAAATCGACGGGACACATTTCGTATGTGGAACTGATACCCAGTTAGTGGATGGTTTTCAATACACCGACTGTGTTATAATGGCAAACGCCAGAGTGACCAGAACTTGTGCATCAGTCATAAACTGTCACTATGCTAATCTCTCCTGCTATGACCTCGAGGGTGACTACCTCATCCTGATGCGAAAGCATCTACTCAAGGGGTTGGTACACACCCATCAGTAGGGGAGGAGGGATAAGAAGGGCACAAATGGTTTGAATCGTGATCTTTCTTTAGCTTAATGTGATTGACTGAATGCCTGTCAAGGAATGGTGGACACCTGCGGTGTCGGACACTCAGGAGCACGAAAAGAAGGGGATCAATATTTCACGTCACACCCAGCGTAAAGGGATGGCTAAAATGTGGTTGTTATTGCATTATTCTTTCTCACGGGTTTTTCTGCGTGTCAGCAAGAAACATATTTAAACTCTTGATATTTATATTTGCCTTAGCAATGCTCGTGACTTAACGGCAGTACTCAAGGTGTTTGTCTTTAGATCCTTCAAAACATATTTGGAGGACATTGTGTGCATGTTTTCTTCCGCGGTTATATTCGGGAAGCACTTTAGTTGCAACATGTTTTTCATCACCCAGGGGAAGCATATTTGGGTCATAATATTTCAGTGGACTAAACTGCGTGCCCACTCCGTTCTCAGCGGATTACACCTACGGAACACACCGTAGTCTTCGGATCAAGCTAATAGACCTTTAATATACTGTACTTCGGCAAGCAGTTAGTCAACTTCTTTTCTCTGGCTCATTACTGAATCAGCAAGACACGTGATATTACTGGTAGCATTAATGATCGCTAGTGGTTGAGATGAACCACATGGACCCACTTAGCTAAAATGCAGTTTTGATGTTAAATAAATGGTTTTCCTTGACTAACCAACTATATTTGTGCAAAACGTTATTCCTCACTTAATTAAAAGTTGAAACAAACTACATAAGTCTGCTTGGTGCAGCAAATTCCGAACAATGATTTGGCTCATTTGTTGGGTTTTTGCATCTCTTCATAATATAAATGCATCTATTAAAAATGTTTCTGTAGTCTCGCTTTAGTGTAGCAGTGTTTGTCAATGTGTGTCCTCAAAAGAATAATTAAAATAGGGAATACTGTTTTTGTGGGTTTGCTTTCTAGCAGATGCAAAAGTTAGTAGACCATTTTTTGTCTGTGCAAAGTGCATCATTGACAAATTTGATTTAAGACAGACAAGAGAACCTGCTTTATCCACATATATTTCTAATCAACTAATGGTAGCTGTAACACAAATTGAGCGAAATGCAAAACGGAATCTAAGCCGTTCATCTACCAATAGGTGTGCCGCCGCGTAGCTGCCTCCTCCTGATAGCATTCTTGTGAGTTTGCGCTATGACTGCACAATACTTGTACGATAAAGCTTCAGGCATTTGCAGTACGTTTTGGCAGCTAGCTTCAGTAGTCGACGGTGGATAGCATTTGTAGCTTTGGATAAATATTGCTCAAATCACCAAAGTTGTTGGAACATTCAAGCAAGTGCCAGTCTTTTTATGCAGTAAAGCTACTTGTGTAGCCCTTTGTCGCCATTTGATCTCATCAAAATATGATGTTTTACCACATTAAATTTACCAAAGTCTCTGTTATAGGATGATGTGCAAGATCGTCTTCATGCATTCAAATCATAAATATTGTATCCACCGGTTCCTCCACACAGTGCCGTGATCTGCGCTATGGATGAAGACTATAGTGTTTTTCTTCCAGTAAGTTAGGTTTTTGGGTTATTTTCTTCAGAGCCATCCTCTTCGTATCTACCTTTGAGGTCTAAATTTAGACGACGGCAAAGACTACGATGGTGATGATGGAGATCGAGCCACAAAACCTCCTGTGAGCATTGCGCCCTCAGATTGGATCACCTCAACCTCTGAAAATGGTCTCCTCTCTGATTTTCTCTTCTACTACAACCTCATTGTATAGTTTAACTTCTCAACTGATATCTTCTAGATTTATTTCCCAAAAAGACACCTCTTGCAATGTCTCCTCCAGTCCGAACGCATCTTTACCAATGACCGGGCATACCTTGAGCAGTGTAAGGGTGTTCTCATAGGGCGGCTGCCCCGCATCCACCCCGTCCTCTTTCTTTTGTCCTCATTTTGTTCACAATCTTGCCGATTTCCTCTCCTGGTCCGAATGCTATCGTTCTTATCTTTTATGTCGGCATGTTATCATTGGCTGGTAGTAACCTTGTTTCTTTATACTTAAATGTTGTCAGCATTATTTAATAACCCACTTGTCCTTATTTGGTCTCACTACATTGCCCGCCATCGAATTCATGAGTTCGGTTCTTTTGGTGATGAGCTTCTTAACGCTGCCACTAATGTAGCGCAAGGAGGACTCCATTCCTCCCTACTATTTATGTTTCCTTTTTGAAGCAGTATGAGTGGTTGAGGCTCTCTGTGCCTGGTTATGGTGTCTACGACGAGGAAGACAGCTTTTGCGCGAAGTGGACCAGATGCGAGTAAACTCGGAGAAGGGAGGTTGGTTTCGGGACGAACCGCCAAGTCGAGTGACTGAGGTGCCCAGTTCAGCCTTCGAGGAGGTGCAAGTGAGGGAACACCTCTCAGCTTTGGCTAGCCTTCATTATAACGTCATCTACTTTCATGTCGGTGCGTTGATGTCCGTGTTACGTACACTTTGTTAGTAGTTAGTGTGATATAAATTATCATATTGGGGCGCCACAATGCATCATCATCTACACTCTACCCCCAATGCATTAAACGACTGCATTTCCTTGCCCATGTCTGTCCGTTTTAGTCTTCACCCCTTCACTCATCCACCTCGAACAGAGCGTTATACACTTTCTGGCTATTTCAACCCCATAATTGTTTGATGGTGAAGCAGGCTACTAAAAAGGCAAATTGAATGGCGCTTGGAGTAGGATGGGGGTCCGTTGGATATATTTTGATTATTTGTCGTTTCTTCGTCGCAGATTTTGGTAATTTATATGGATGACTAAGGAAAATGTTTAAGCACAGGACCCGCAATGCACTTTTGGAGTGGGGAGGTTGGCCAATTCTACTGAGGCAACCTCGGACAGACCGCGCTTTTCATGGATTTTAATGGTCCTTTTGATTTAATAATGAAATAGTGTCCATGTTTTGTCCAACATAATAACGTAATCTTTCAACTCAGTGCATCCATCAACTTTTCTGTGCTCGTCAAAAACGGATGATTGCATTGGGACTTGTCATTGTTCAGGCTTCATAAACTGAGGGAAAGGGTTGCTGCCAAGGCATCCTTGGTTGCGCTGTCTGAACTATCCTCCGAAGACCTTCAGTCAGTGCGCATACTCTTGTCTAATTGTCAGTACTGCGTGAATGAGGCCGAGAAAACCCTTGGAGATGAATCCACTAAATCGACGGTATCGATTTCGGTTCCCAAGGTGCCTGAATTGGCGTCTAAAGTGGAAGAGAGGGGCAAACTGTTACCACTGGATTTTGAACAACCGCCCGGTGAAGATGAGGTAGGTCTCGTTAAAACCGAAAGCGTTATGCGCCATAAAGAAGGTGTGCAAGACTAGTCTTAGGACCGTTTTTGAATTTTCTGGCACGTACTTTTCACTTCTCATGGTGGGATATTTCTGCTTCTTGAGATGCTATTGTTACATTAAACTGGAGGAACAGTTGGCTTGACAGATAGGGAAGAGAAAATGGACTCGCGACAAGACTAATTACTGTCCTTGTCTTCACAGTTTTGGACTAAAATGCTTAAATAAGCCCTTGGATGACTTTCGTGGGCTCGATATCCGTGGCCATTCTACCCCAATTCAATTTAGATATAATATTCTCTGGTCGGGGCTTTTACAAAGGCTATATAAATGGATTCGTCTGTCCCCCCCGTCCCCTCATCTCTCCTCCCCTCCCCAAACAGAAACGCTGCATCCTTTTTATTTACCCACTGTGTAAATTCGCTACTACCGAAAGAGGAGTCTAACCCTATTCCAATAATGGAATAGGAGGACATCTTTTTTTCTCTCTCCTCCTCTTTTCCGGCTTTAAACAATTGAACTATGATGGTGGAAGAATTGTAGGTCTAGTATTACCTCTGGTTGGCTTGACTGAATGAATGATTTTCCCTCTTTCTTGTTTTCTTTATTTCCCCTTTTATCTTAGAGAGGTGAATCACTTGGTTCCAGTTTTTTCTTCCCCTCTTTCATTTTTTTGCATATTGTTTGGAATTCCGGGCTGGTGCACATCTGTTTCATCGGAGTACTCGCATTGGTAGATACGTATTTAATAATTAGTGTCTACCCTCTGAGAAGAAAAAAATTTCCGCTTTTTTTTCATGGAGGTATAAACACTTGGTCTTGTCATCTACTTGTCTCTATGACTGACACACACTTTGTCAAGCTTAAAGCTGTCACGATGTCGTTAATAGCTTTTCTGTGGCCTCTTCTATAAAACAATGCAGTGCTCTCCCTTCCTTCCTTCCCTGTGGTTGTGGCCGTAGGCGATTGAACGTTCCAAGCCCTCTAAATCTGTTCCACAAACCCACCCTAGAGAAGGTGGTACTTTGTCTCCCATTCTGAATACACGCTTAGACAGCGGCGGTTTTTATCCTCCTGGCTACAGTAGACTATCCTATCCTGATCACAGATTGCTGTCGGTGACAAGTGGTCACCTCACTTGAATTGGAAACACTCAAGACTGGATGGTATCCCGACTCTTTTGACGTCTTTTGAATAGGACATTTAATGTTAAATGCCTTCCTACTGCGAGGTAAAAGTGGTTCTCTTAACCACGTGGCATCCCTCCTTGATTGTGAATGAATAAGGTGGGTTAAAAAGGTTTTGAAAAGTACCTTTGTATAGGTATTTCTGGACTAAGTTTTTCCTGACAGAAGTGGCAACTGCCTCCTTAAAATGGTGGGATTTCTGTACTTTTTTTGGAGGTAAACTTTCGGGGAAGAATCAAGGGAGGATGGTAGCTTTCTTTTTCTCTATTCCAACCTTCGGATCGACGGAGAATGGTGCCTTAGTCAAGGGAAGGGGATAGGATGGGGCAAATTTGGAAAACGCAAGTTGCTTTGGCTCATGCAACATGCGGTACGCCGACTTTTGCCTTAACTTTTCTTTAAGGATAATCATTTATTTACGCTATTGTTCATCGTGAAGGTGGTTTGTGTCAAGAAGCCAGATTTGTATTTCACAAAGAAGCTCCAGCTTGATTTGGAATTTTCTTCATTGCAAACGATAGGGAATTTTTTCGTTACTAGAGTAATTTTCTTTAAAAGGTGCGTATATTTTTTCGGAAAAAGTTGCTACATTGCACCGGCATTAGATAATGCTACTTATTGCATTATAAGTAGTTCATTGATTGACTAGTTTTTGGTTCCCTTTTTGGGTAGTTTAGGCTCCTGTACATGTTCGCTTTTCTGCGACCTTGAGAAGAAGGAGGGTTGTGGATCTTTTATCTGTAGTGGTCATTTGCGAGCTAGTTTGCACTAGGAAATTGAGTATATATTTTACGCGAGGACTTCGACTTGCTTTGGAATCTCATTCACTAAAGTCAAACGAGAAGCAACATATCTTTTTCTGGGAATAGTTTCTTCAGCGAACAAATGTGTATTTTTGGAGATGAATAGTATTATCTTGTGTCAGTAATGGCTGGAGCCACTTATTGTGTTATAAGTGGTTTATCGGTCGAATGGATTTTAGCTCTTATCTATTAGTCCCTAGACCCGTCCTTTTTTATGCCGCTTTGATGATGTGTGATGTTTCGGGTTCTCAAAGCCCTAGTACACCATACCAGGGCGATGGAAAATTCGTTATTTAACGTACCGAAGGGATGAGGGGTTATAGATCATGTCACAGGATGAAATTACAAGCTGTAATCGTCACATCACGATGGTGCGTTTCACTGACCTGAATTTTATGCTGAGAGGGATGAAAATCATTTCTCTCACGATTACAAAACACAATCTTAATGACATTTTCACCATGGCACCGCTGATGCTATCCTTTCACGGCAAAGAAAACCCATGTGGGTTCCCGTGGGTTGCCGATTTTGACGTTCCCTTTACGTTTGGCCTACGGCTCCCACTATCTCCATTCTCCTCAACCCGTGTGCTCTCTTATTGACCTATTTAAAGTTGGGCAAAGTATTTTAATCTCTAATAATGTGTTTGTTTCGTCATTTTTTAGCAGAAGGCATACCTTAACCGATCATTGGTGCATATTGTCGTAGCTTCAGTTTGGTTCGCATTTCAAGGAGTGATTCCATATTTCCTAAATCAGAGAAGGTAGCGATTGTGCTGGATAAGTGACTTCCCTAAAGGCTATAACAACTTGGCCTACTTCGCCTCTCTTACTTTCCAAGGTTGTAGACTGCTCGAGGTAATTAGGTTCTTCATATGTAATCATCCCTTTAAGGATCACCCTCCCCTTGAACTCTGCATTTCACTCACAGTCCATCTAACTACCGACGACATTCTCACAGTATTGATTGGGTCTTTGAGTCTCTTTGCCAAATTGGAAGTGGAGAAGGGAGAGGACTGCCATCTTTTACTTGTTTACTTCTTTTTATGTATTCGATTTTAGTGTCTTGAGGCAATTGTTGAAGCTGAAGATCTACAGGCTGGAGGAGAGGAGAGTCTCTACGATGACCTCGATTACTTAGGTCAACCGGTTGGCAAAGCCGAGGTAAGTTTATTCCCCCACTCCTCTCTTTTACTACTTCGCTGCAGAATTGCGAGTGGGGTCCAGTTCTGGAATTATTGCAGTATTGTAGATGTTTGTCTCGGCGATTGCAACAACATTACGGAGGTGATGGGTACAGTGGTAATGGGGTGACGTTGAAAGAACTACGACAGTGTAGCCAACAAAAACAGATAGAGAGGTCATTAAGTTTCCCTTGTAAGACGGGAACGAAGGTGCACTTGTCCTCCTCCCCTTGCTTCCATGGTCTATTGGCCAGGAGCGAGTCTAGTGCAGAAGTTAACCTTCACTGTTTAACAGGTAGAGGGTGTTATTTTTTGGTACCTCTATCTCGCCGATTGTGAAATGAGGCGGTTAACTACGTATGGTTAACATCTAACAAGGACTGCCAATCACATTCCCCCAAAGTACGTGACCTCGTCTCTCCTCTTGTGCTAACCTCCTGTTTGCTCTGGTTTTGGAATTCCAGAGATTTAACTATTTCTGCCTACCCTTCAACGACCACTTTTGGACAAGTTTTATTTTGGGTTGATTCCACCTACAAACTAGAAGTGACATTTGGTTTTGCTTTCACTAAGGCTTATCAATCTTAATGCCAAAGCCGCGATCGTGAAACGGAGGGGGTAAAGAAAAGTAGGCGACTTTCATATCTTTCCATCCGAAAGGACGTTGACGAGGCACGCGGGCAGAGCGTCTATCTCTCACTACTTCAGATTTACTAACTTCAATGTTCAACTGGAGGAGGGTAGGAATTATGACCTTTAGGGGCTGTCAAAAGGTGATACACTCATTTGCCATTCCTCCTGTGTCTACCTTCCAAGCTTCGGGCAACTGTGCCTGATTCACCAGTGCTCTCAATTATGCGGTACCACTTACTGGGGGAATATGTAAACCGAAGTCACGTAAGTGTGACGCTGTAACCTTATCAAGTCTTATTATAACTATTAGAGCCTTACAGCTGTGTTAAGGCTTGGCAACGACCGCTAAATTCTTTATCATTTTGGGATACGGAAGTTTGACTGGAATGTCAGGGCTCGGAGGAGTATTGCCTTTTTATTTACTTGGGAAAACTAGGAGACAAGGCAGGTAGACCGGTGAGTAAAATTCAAAGTGAAACCTGGGGAAGCTACTAAGATGGTAATGACAAAGATACTAAATATCTATTTTAATGGACGTTTTCTTAGTCAATTTGGAGTTGAAACCAGTGAACTATATCTTATGATGAAATGGTCCTTCGGCTCCGCTGCATCTATGCTTTGTATGTGCTCTCCCTCTCCATCCTTCTCTCATTCTGTGACCTTTTTGTCGAGGAAATTTCACAGCTCTCATCACGGGAAAGGGACGAAGGGAAGATCACCACTCCTAGGAGTAGGAAATGCA